CCATGAGTAGTACTTCGTTTCATATTCTAAAATTCCTCGAAAGTTTTGAAGGTTAACTTCAGTAGAAGTAGTATTCAAAAATAACTTTTATGTGCATACGATAAGATACTTTGAATAGCAGGCTGAAAAGTCTTGCTGTTTAAGAAAACTCCATGATAATGATTTTCAACTCTTTGCTAATCATCACCTATTGCCTAATTCAAGTATAGATACTAAGATTTGAGAGGATTTTTTTTTGTTGGAAGAAACCATACGTGTAGATTTGCGTAAAAAAAACTTCACAGAGCAGGAAACTCATTTCCAGACCTCGTCTAGATTGATCTAATTTACATCTCTAGTTCATTCAAGATAATAAGCCAACTAGCGATATGAAGCGTTTAGTTTATGAGGAGATAAGAAAAATGCGTGGGCAAAATTAACACATTTATATGAAAAGCTGAAACTTAATCCTGCTTTCTTTTCCCTAGATGTTCTCTTTTATGTTCTAATATAACTAGCGTTGTAGAGCTTTATTTGAGTCTCTTTACTGCTTAATAATCACTATGGGAAGGAAAAAGTGAAGTGAGAAGTACAACGTAACAAAAATTGCCTTATAGGAAATCTTCAGTGTGGCTGAATACAAGACTTACCTTGCTGCAGTAGCTGTCAACGAAGCTTTTGGAAAAATTCTTACAATCGGCGATCATCAGTGAGTGTTAAAGATTTTTCACTCCCACTGTCCTTGAAATTCGTGTTTTTTTAGGATCAAAGTTCGTGAAATGCGAGAACTAAATGACATTTTTGTTATAATGGATGTCGATACGGAAAAAGGTAGTATTACCTATTATCCGCCCGCTCTTTAAGGCATGATTCTGCTTCTTCAGATCTCTCTGAAGTGCAATGTTCACTTGATGGCCAATTAGTTGCTGTGGCTGCTAGAGGTGGTGGTGTGTCCGTATACCTCACCAAGATGCCATCGATGGGTGCAGCCTACGGTGACACCCTGGCTGTGCTTTCATCACTCAATCAGATCACATATCTGCCAGAAGGAGATAAGGCATGAATCTTTTATTTTAAAAATCTATATTGAAACGTCTAACTATATCGAAGACGTAAGAAATTACTAAAAAGCATTTTCAATAGAAAAGGAAGCCCTTCTTTTCAAGAAACTTTACTCAACAGAAAAAATATTCTAAACAAAGTAAGCAAACATACATTCAAGAAATCGAATAAAGTTGGAGTTAAAGGAAAACCTCATTGAAGGGCTGAATGTTCTAAAGTTAAAAACTGTTTC